TTCTACTTCTAGCGTTAAAATGAGTCGTCAAACCTTCTTATTTAGCCCTAAGTTTAATAAGAAACCGATCTATAATTCACCATCAAATAAGTATCAAGAATTCACCAATGCTTATGTGTATAGTATTATGGTTAAAACTAAAAATGGTACCCCTAACCGAGATAATGTTTGTCGTGAAACTACAAAAGAATGGAATAAAATTAAAAGCAAGAGTAAATCGGAAATTGATGAGATAATTAGGGATTACCTGGCCAAGCCATATAACCTATATGACATACAAACAATGAGACCAAGGTGTCTCATACCTAGAGAAGATTCAACTCCTCCTTCTAGTCTTCCAACTATTCGTCCAGTAAATCCTGTAATAGAAATTCCTGTTAATGGATCCGCTCAAAGAAAGGCAGCAGATGAAATATCAATAGCAGAAAAAAAACTTATCGAATTTGAGCAAATCTATAGCATTGCAACAGATTCTCAAATTCGTCATAATATGTATGCAAGAATAGTGAATCTTCGAGATGAAATCAAATCTAACAGGGAGAGAATTGTTAAATTAAAAAGAAATGCAAATTATGCTCAAAAATGCAAAGAAAAAAAAAGAAAACTACTTACCGAAAACCAGGAGGTGATACTATATGATAAACCCGGTCATCCTTCACTTCTTTACAAACATCCAAATTTGCACGATCATATCCATGATTCGATCGAGTTTGGAGCAGCTGATGAAAAACGACGAAAAGAAGTGGTTAAAGTGCGGATCATTGAAAACTTACGCAAGAACCTTGAAGAGAATTATAATATTTACATGACGCGAACCACATTGAATAATTACCTGCTGCCTCGTCAATCCAATTCCATTGCCGCAAAGGCACACCACCATCCAGCGTGGGTCGTGGTGGCCGCGGTTTCACGCACTGAAACACGTGACCATCCTGATGGTCACTACTGTCTTGCGTCTGTTAAATACGTAAGACAATTTGCCACTGCTTTTGCTGATAAGTCTGTTGTCATTTCTCAAGATGACAAGGCGAAGATAGGTCTTGGGG